AAAAAAAAAAAAAAAAAAAAAAAAAAAGTAACTGTCCAGATGACCTGACTGAAAAATGTTGGATTGTATACCTGATTATTGAGCATGGACTTTGTTGTTTTCAACCAGTTTGACACGACTGTCAACAAGGAAGAGGGCCGTCAATGGAGGAGGGGCGTACCAAAGAGACCATCTTAGCACCAACAGAACTGGTTTGTTCCACTTTGGAGTAAGCTGTTGGGGGAAGAATCAGTTTTGTTGTGCGTTTCCTTGACTGATGAAGCCTTCCGGATCGAAGGTGAAACGTTTCAGCACAAAAAAAAAAGAAACTGTCCAGATGACCTGACTGAAAAATGTTGGTTTAATTCTTAACCTGTTTACTTTATGTTTGGTGACATACCTCTTTGCTGGGTGAGAACTCCAGCAGTAGATTGCATAGTGTTGAAGAAGCCATAACCAAGACTTCATCTGGAGCATTCTGCAGCAACTACACAAAAAAGAAAGGTTATTCTGTATTTTCTATTTCAATTTAATTTCCTCATCTAGCTTAGTCATTAAGATTTGCTGAGTGAGAAGCATCCAAAAAGGATTTCCTCCCCATCAGAGTAATCTGCTTTTGCACATATAAACTGACCTTCATGAGGGGTTTCCAGACAGCGTGATCATGGAAGCTGGTTCTGAGCTGCTGAACAGATCGTGACAGACTGTGAAGACACCTACATGCAAAAAAAAAAAAAAAAAAAGAAAAAAAGTCAACAATAAACTCTCTAGTTGTTTAATATCCAGTCAAGCATTTATAAGATAAAACGAGACTAAAACATAATCCTGGTTTAATAATAAGAAGAATAAATTTTAAATAAAACTGATAGTAAAAAATAATGAATTTAAATGCTGTCATACATAACACATTACAAATAAATGTAAATAAAAGCCATCCATCGATCTGCTGCTTGTTCCAGATTAGGGTTGCAGGGGCAGCAGCTTGAGCAGGGAAGCCCAGAAACCTCTTTCCACAGCAAACTATTATGAGATTTTCAATGCAGCGTCTGCATCATAGGCGTCGCAACCATTATATGTGAAGGGGACATGTCCTCCCCACATTAAAAAAAAATTCATTTGGACACACACACCCCGGCTGCTGAGTCTCCTGCTTCGGCAGAAAACGTGCACAGGCGGAGGAGATGGAGACATCACTGTGTTGCTCGCTTGCCAGTTTAGTGAGCTTAGTGTGGGCAGTTGTTTGGGGGGGGGGGGGGGGGGGGGTGGTGTTGATCATAAACATAAAATCATGTTAGGAGGATGTTTGAGAGGAGCGCTACATCTGTAGCATCTTAGCTTAGCAGTAACTGTGATGCTGTAAGACGCTGCAGGTGTAAGAGACGCTGTGTGTTCAGGTGCATTAAAGTTGAAATGTCCTTAAAACCCCACACCTTATTGTTCTCAAGATTCATGAGAAACATCATTTAGATGAGTAGTGTTGAACACAAGTAAAAAAGTGTAGTGGAATAGTGCCGACCAGATGCTGTGTGTTAAAGTGTATTAAAGTTAAAATGTCTTTAAAACCCACAGCTGAATTTACACAAACTTGGTGAGAAACATGCTTTAAATGTATGGAATTAAAGGAAATCTAGGTGAAATGTTGCTTTTTTTTGGTACATTAGTGTACACTTCTTTATGCGCGCGCGCACACACACACACCTACACACATCATTGTGTCCCCCCCCCCCAACATTACGGATGCCTCTGACGCCCTTGCTCTGCATGATCAGTTACATCCAATCTGGTGAATACACTAACGTACATTCAGACCTAGTATTTTATTGAGTTTGTTCCTACATCTCCTCCTTGAATTGCCACCTTATGGTGGAAGAGTTTGTGCACCTGAATGATCCTAAGAGCTATGCTATCAGGGGCAATTATATCTGCCCCTGGTAGGGTCTCCCAAGGCAGATTGGTCCTAGGTGACAGGCCAGACAACGAGCAATTCAGAAGACTTTTGATGGACAACACAAATCAAGGAACTCGATGTCCCTTGCCAGGATGTGGGTTAACGGGGCCCCACCCTGGAGCAAGGCCTGGGGGAGGGGCTTGTCGGCGAGCGCCTGGTGACTGGGTCTACCCATGGGGCCTGGCTGGGCTTAGCACAAAGCAGCAGCATGGGTATACCTTCCAGTGGGCCCACCACCTGCAGAAAGGAACCAAAAATGTTGAGTACATGATGCCATGGGCAGTGGCCGAAGGCGGGGACCTTGGCGCTCTGAACCTAGTTCACCAAAGCTGGATCTTGGGACATGGAATGTGACCTCTCTGGTTGGGAAGGAGCCTGAGCTTGTGCGTGAGGTTGACAGGTACCGACTTTATGTAGTTTGGCTCACCTCGACGCACAACATGGGCTCTGGAACAAATTCCTTGAGAGGTGCTGGAACTTATTCCACTCTGGAGTTGCCCATGGTAAGAGGCATTGAGCTGGTGTGGGTCTACTTGTAGCCCCCTGACTTGGTGCCTTTGTGCTGAAGTTTTCCCCAGTAGATGAGAGGGTGGCTTCCCTGCGCCTTTGGGTGTGGGGACGGGCTCTAACTGTTGTCTGTGCCTAAGTGCCAAGTGGCAGTTCAGAGTATCCAGCCTTCTTGGAGTCCTTGGCAGGGGGGCTGGAAGGTGCGCCAGCTGGGGACTCCTTTATTGTGTTGGGGGACTTCAATGCCCACTTGGGAAATGACAGTGTGACCTAGAGGGGCACGACTGGGAGGAACGGCCTCTCAGATCTGAATCTGAGAGGTGTTTTGTTGTTGGACTTCTGTGCTAGTCATAGTTTGTCCATCACAAACATCACGTTCGAACATAAGGGTGTCCATAAGTGGCCTTGGCACCAGGACGCAATAGTTCATAGATCTGTAATGAGACAGCCGAGAGATGGATTTAGCTCAGGGGTGCTCTCTTACATTTTATAATATATGGACTAATTCAAGTACATAATATTATACTCAATTTAAACAGATTCTTTCATTTTTCTGGACTAAGTAATATCGTGTCTAGAAGATTAAATGTGGACAAAGACGTGTTTAAATTTCTGACCCACCACAACAGTGCGGTCTTTTATTTATCAAAACGATTTAAACACATCACACATTTACACATTGATTGGCATAATTGATTACAATAACACAGCTTAATTAATGAGCTTTACAATGAGAAATCATACGGCCATGATTTCTCACTTGCAGCTAAAAACAACAGACTTATCCTTAGATCTTAAATTAATGTCTGCAGGCTTAGCTTATCTTTTTACTGGTGAGATAGAAGAGTTTCAAAGATGGGGATTGAAGGAGTTTAAATGGAGAGAAAAGATGTGGATGAGGATGTATGTCTGTTGACCAGAACAACACGCTCCTTTCAAGCGCAGTTCGCCCGCAGTACACTGGTAGTGAAGCTCATGACGACTCTTTTACCTTGGCAGAGGATGAATCAGCTGCGGTCAAGAGGTCCCTGGTACGCTACCTTTTAGCGTCTCCACAGGGCGGCTGCGACTCGGCAGAAGTCGTGAGATAACTCGTTCCACAGAACAAACTTCCTCAGAAGTTATAGGGCATTCACCGGGTGGAGCCACAGCGAGGCATCGTGGCTCCGACAGGAACTCCAGCCGAACTCCATCAGAACCAGAAGAACTAACGGGACTCTGAGAAGACTCAGAGGAACTTCTCAGAACTTCTGTTCTTCCCCCAGAACTAACTGGAACTAGGAAGTGTCGACTTTTAAAGAGTTCTGCTTCCGGTCCCTTTTGGGAAGTCCTGATTGGTTGAAAGAACCAACAGGGGTGTGGTTTTAGTGACGTCAGAGGTTACTACAAGTCAGAAAAACAGCGGAGATGTTTAGGAACAGACAGAGAAATGTTTAGGAACATACAGAGAAATGTTTTGGCGAAGTGGGAGGAAGCAGATGCCAGTAGCTTCTTATTTACCGTCTGCTAGGTTTAAAAACAATCCACTTCGTTCTAATAACTTCTTTCTGACTTTCGACCGACATCACAACTTGCTCATTTCAGACAAAAGATCAAAATGCATAATTACTTTGTAACAGACATTAACTTGATTTCTACTTTGAATGAGGATTAAAAAATCATTAATACTGTTTCACAGTTGATTTAAAATGAGTAGTTCACTTCAACATTTAAAATGGTTTGAACTAAACACACTTTTGATTATCAAGACATTTGTAAAAATAGTAATAACAATATAAAAAGAGTGTTCTTTCAATTGATTAGTTCAGGATACAATTAGAAAGTCTCTGGATGAGCTTATTTGTATTTCTGGATTCAAATCAATGAAATAACAGTTCCTGACCATGAAGGTCTTCAGGGTCAGGTTTTGACCGGAGGCTTAGTTCACTACAGATCGATGATCGACTTCATAGTCATATCAACTGATTTGTGGATGTTTGGTTTTGGACACTCTGGTGAAGCGAGGAGCTGAGCTGTTAACTGAGCACCACCTGATAGTAAATGGTAAATGGACTGTACTTATATAGCGCCTTTCTATCTTATTTCAAGATACTCAAAGCGCTTTATACCACAACCTGTGTCCTCATTTACCTATTCATACAGCACTCTACTAGATCTCTACAAAGCTAATTGAACAAATCATTCTAAAAAGACTAATCAGTGCTTTAAATCACATTCATACACTGATGGGACACACAGAGACTATGAGGGGTTTAGTGTCTTGCCCAGGGACACTTCGGCATGTGACTGCTGGTGGATTCGAACCCCCAACTCTCGCATTGGAGGACGACTGCTCTAACCACTAAGCCACAGCCCATAGTGAGTTGGATCAGATGGCGGGAGAAGATGCCAGACAGATCTGGTAGATCCAAACATGTAGTGAGGGTTTGCTGGGAACGCCTGGTAGAAGAATACATCAGAAAGAGCTTCAACTCACACCTCCAGGACAGCTTTAAGAACATTCCAGCTGAGGCAGGGGACATTGAGTCCGAATAGGCCATGTTCTGTGCCTCAATTGTTGAGGTAGCTGTAGGGCTGAGTACCGAACTGTAGTATGTCATATGCTGGATATATTCATACTTTTTTCACGAGTTCCTCATCTTTCTGACTGTGTAAATGTCGTGCATTGAATTTAACAGAAATGTAACGAGAGACGTTATTATCTTTGACCCATCAAAATGAATGCGGTCATTTATTTTCAGAATCAAAGTTTAACATCAAGCATTTACATTAATTTGGCAAAATATGAAAATAATAACAGACAAGTTTCACAGATAATGGACTTCAATCACACGGCGGTGATTGAGGACTTTGTTTCAGATATCTCTAAGATATCTGTCAAATGAATTTAGGAGAAAGGAGAGTTTAAGATGGACGATGGAGATTTATCTTACAGAGAGATTTGTGAGGGAATTAATCTGTTTGACCAGAAACGTGCACGCTCCTTAGATCTCAGCTTGCGACGGTACGCTTGGTCGAAGTGGACTGTTACCTGGTTGATGATAGGTCAGCGTCGGTATAGGATCCTCCTTTGACTCTTTCAGCGTCTCCGTTGAGAGCAGCTGAAATCCTTCGAGAGTCGTGCGAGGTTATTCAAACAGAAGTTATAATCCCAAAATGTCTCTGGATCATCCTGAATGCGTTTGCATCCAAGAACTCTGAACTCCTTTCATCTCCTTAGCACTCTCTATCAGACTTCCGACATCAGACTCGCTAGAACCG